AAGCCAAACCAACGTCAAAGAGCAAATGTCAAATGAGTGATGTTGTGACACTTGTCACAACTTTAGAGGTCACGTATTTTTTGTGACTGAAATCTCTAAAACGGCTATAACTTGTTAACGCTAACTTATTTCAGAAAACCAAAAACACCAACGGTTATAAAAAAAATTTCTGTATAAAATGAGTATTATTTTTCCAATTTTCACACACTTTCATTTTTTGCATTTTTCCCCATTAATCTCATCTATTGTCGAAAACATCTAATATCAGTCAAACAAATTTTTTTTTTCACAAATTTCACTTCCAATTTCAAATATCCTTCATATGGATCGTAATAATTCAAATTACGGGAATAATATGAATTTTCTTAATAATCCAAATTTTCAATATAATCAAAATAATCCTCCTTTTGACCCAAATTTAATGAGTAATCCTCATTTTCAAGCTGCTTTGCAATGGTTTAATAGTCAATCAAGACCAATAAATGTCAATAATATTCCACAATGTCAACCTTCTTTCCCTTTTCCTCAAAGTAGTTCGTCATCTCAACAATCTCTTGGTAATATGCCGGGTTTTCCCATTTATGAACATTTCACTCAGAACATGGATCAATCACCGGGAGGTTTTGGTGGTAGCAATGCAACTCCAATAGAAGAGAGTGGTGATGAACATGTGGAACAATTAGTGGGGGCACAACATCTAGAAGACATTAACGATGTTGATGTCGAAATTGTTTCCGAACAAAATGTCAACACCACCGGGTAAAGGAAAAACCAATCATGGAGCATAGCTGAAGACAAAGCACTTCTATCGGCCTACATAAACGCAGGAGGTGATGTAGTGAGTAGAACGAAGACAAAGAGAAGTGGGTTATGGGTTGACATCTATAACCGCTACAAACGTTCTAGAATAGAAAAACCCGATGAAATAAAGGTAAGAAACATTAAATCTATGCAAAATCGTTGGGATCATATCAATTCACATTGTAGTAAATGGGTAGATGCATATGGGTATCATTATCGAACCAAGGGTAGTGGTGAGTCCGAGCAAAATTTGGAGAAATTTTCTCACGAAGATTATTACGCAACTAACAACAAGATGTTTTGTTTATTGCACTGTTTTGAGGAATAGAGAAAATATACGAAATGGGATCCATCTTTGGCCAAAGATCTCGAATATGTTACACGATGGCCAACAAATGTCAACCAAAAGTGGGGGAAGCGGTAAAATATCACAACCTGATTCACTATCCGAGGTTAGAGGAAGAGGTAAAAAGACCTACTGGCATAAAACAAACAAAGATGAAAGGGAAAGCATCTACTAATTCATCTTCAAGTATAAATCTTGAAGCGTTAAACACAAACTTTAACGAAGTTGGTGATAAATTGAATGATTTGTATAGGGAATATTTCAAGCATTACCCCAAACTTTAACCCCACTGTGATCATACACTTAAGCATGGTGGCGTCCAAAGGGGAAGAAGATAGAGCAAAAGAGTTGCCAAAAAGTTTTAGAAACTTGTAAACCGTTCACGAGGTGAAGGTTACACCCCTTAACGATCCAGGAGATCGTTAACTCTAATAGGTCTGGAACCATGACTGGTAATTCGGGGATGAAAGTACAAATCCAACCTAAAAAAGATTGAACCTGCCCTAATAATAGGCCTCTACTTTATTCTGATCGTATTCATGTGCGCTTTCTGACTAACATGCAATCAATAGGATTAACCCTAAACCTGTTTATCTATGTTGGTTGAATATTAATGCACAAATAAAACTATTATTGGCGATCACTTGAATTATGTTCATATTAACCTAAACAAGATTATTAATTATCTTATTAAGCGTTATTACAAGTACAAATTCTCTTTAAACATGCATAAAAAGCGTGATCAAGCAATAACAATAAATATACATCAAGCAACATGATATTAACAAATTATATATAAGTTATCCGTCAATTAACAAATAACATGAAATAATTCGTAAATTAACAAATTACGTTAAAGTATATAATTCGACACAACAATAATCATAATCATAATCATAATTATCATAATCATGTTAAAGCATAATACTAATAGCAAGATCCTATGGATGATACTAACAAGATTAATAACAAACCCTAGCATGTCACTAAACATTAAAGATCAAATATATAGCCTTAACATGATACTATCATAAATATTAGAACAAGAATAAAGCATCACATGAATCACAGTTGTCATATTTGATATTAGAAATTATAGTTGCTACCCTAAACATGATACTAGGAACTTATTGTTGTCATTCTAAACATCAAATTAAGAAAAACATCCTAACATGATACTAGGAATCAAAATAACAACCTAGACATGATTTCTATATCATAATAACGATAAATCATTTAAAGTACTTACTTGGATGTCTCGTATCTCTTTCTAATAACAAAATACACAAGGTAGTAACTTCAAGGAAAATAATAATAAAACAATTAAATCAAATAATTGAAATAGAGATTAAGAAAGTTTAGACTAGATTTGGGACCAAACCCTCATAAATCAAACTTTTCACGTCTATGGCGAAGGCAACTTCAAACTATGTTAGGTGTGTCTAAATCTTGTAAATGCGAAATTTTGTATGCAAAAGTCTAGTTTAGAAAAGAGAGAGAGATAGAGTAATCAAGAGATTCTTGATGAGAGTTGGTGAGAAGAGAGAATTAGAGAGAATTGATGAGAAAAATTGATGATTGAAAACGGAGGTTTTAGGAGGCTATTTATTGAGAAAATCAGCCTGATGTAATAAAAACGAATCAGAGTTTCAAAAAGAATAAAACACGATCGCATCGTCAAACACGCGCGTGGCGCCAAATGCTGGACTCTAGCGCCAGACGCCAGGTATGGCGCTAGGCGCTGGTTCTGTCGTTAAACGCTGGAAAATAGTTCTGCGGATTTTGTTTTTATCATATCTTTTGATCCAGAAGTTCAAATAAGTCATATAATATGTCGTTGGAAAGCTCTTGAATTATATTTTACAAATAAATTAGAATCAAATTAAAATCTTTTGTAGAAAAAACAATATGGCCGAAATAGTGGAAGGATGTCAATTTTTGATAGGGTTTCATATCTCATTCATATCTTTTTCGTTATAACTCGGATTTAATATTATAAAATATCATTGGAAAGGTAATTTCAATATCTATCCAACCATATAAAATTTGGATAAAGATTATGAGGCATGAAAATAAAATCTGAATATATTCCACTTCGTATAAAACAAGGATTCTAAAAAGGAGTAGTTTTATTCAATTTCAAACTCTTTGAAACATAATTATCAATCCTAACTCCATTAGGACTTAAGAGAACCTTCTAGAATATTATAGAAGAATATAATCAATCCTAATAGCTTTAGGAATGATAATTAATAATAGGCCCTCCTCTAGATCATTGGGCCGCATATAAAAACCAAACCGGGCCCAGTTTAGTATTTTGGCCATAACTTCATCATTATTCATCGGAATTGGGCTTATAATATATCGTTGGAAAGGTCTTTTCAAGACATATCCAACTAAATTATTATTGGACCCTTATCATGGACAAAACTAAACTGGAATGCACTTTTTTCATAAATAAGGTAAGAAAAGAAATATTTTCAAAAACAAAAAGAAGAGATATTTTAATAAAAACATACTCATCACTAGACTTTTCACACTTTCTCTTTGTTCGATAATCAAATGACATGAAAGGTATTCATCATTGGGTTTGGTTTTGGGGATACACATTTGGGTGTCTACAATTTGGGTGGGCGACTTTTGGATCAGTTGAAGGAAAGAGATTGAATTAAAAAAGCACAAGTTGAAGAAAAGAAAAGGCAAAAGGATGAGGCCATGAAGTTTAGAATGTTAGAAAGATTAATGTAGAAGCCTGTTCTTGATGAAGTTGAATAAGAAATGTATAAGAAACTTAGAGATGAATTCAGTAGTAGATTTTTTATTTGATTTGATTTAATTTACCTGATTGTACCGAGTAATCATGATTTGTTATTACAATCATGAGTTGTATGTTTTATTATTATTGTAACTTTGCAGAATTATTGTCAATGTACCTTTTTAATATGAATGTAATTTCTATGTATTAATATGAACTTTATGTTTACTAAATTGAGTTCAAGTCTGTTAATGTTACTTTATATTATTGTGATAATGTGTAAGATTGCTACCCATGACATTTCATCTAACCAAAATCTTATCTTCTGACATCCTTTTTTTTATGACCACATATCATTATCTAAAATCTAATCTTCTGATTAACCTTATCGTTTTTTGTCTAGATAATTTATCAGATTGCTCCCACGACATTTCATCTAACCTAAAGCTTATTTTCTGACATCCTTTGTTTTATGACCACATATCATTATCTGAAATCTAATCTTCTGACTAACCCTATCGTTTTTTGTCTAGATAATTATTAGATTGCTCCCATGACATTTCATCTAACTAAAATCTTATATTCTGGCATCCTTTGTTTTATGACCACATATCCTTGGGAGAAATCTTATCATCTGACTAACCTTATCCTATTTTTATCTATAAAATTTATAATATTACTCCCAATAACATTACATCTATCAATATCAACCTTTTTTCCCTTAAGCATTTAAAAAAAAAAAAAAAAAAAAAAAAAAAAACCTTAAAACCTTCTATTTCAAATATTGTTTGGTAATAAACATAATATGAATTTCGATTCAAACTCTTCAAGCTCTTTTTCTTCGTCTTCAAGTTCAACTAATGAAATCTATGATCAAATGGTCATGAATTTTATCAACGAGAGTCATCGATTACAAGTAATGCAAATGCAATACTTGTAGCCGTAAACAATTCAGTCTAGTAAAATGAACAAAAACGTCAAAGAAAACGAAGAGTAACTGTGCCGAGAAATTATGAAGCAGCTCACGACAATTTAGTTTCAAATTACTTTAGTGACCAACCAGTATACGATGAAACCACATTTAGAAGGAGGTTTCGTATGCGAAGACCCCTTTTCCTTTGCATTGTCAACACATTAAGTGCAACTAACCGTTACTTCCAACAACACCCAGATGCTACCACGCGTCTTGGTGCTTCACCCCTTCAGAAATGCACAACAATCATACGTATGTTAGCTTATGGTTGTTCTGCTGATCAAGTAGATGAGTATCTGAAGCTCGGTGAAAGCACTGCTAGAGAATGTCTTACACAGTTTGTCGACGGAGCTCAATTTGCAAATGAGTACCTTCGCAAGCCAACATTGGAAGATATCCAACGCCTCCTTAGAGAAGGAGAGGATAGAGGTTTCCCTGGCATGTTGGGCAGCATTGATTGCATGCATTGGGTCTGGAAAAATTGTCCAGCTGGATGGAAAGGAATATATCAAGGAAGATCTAAAACGGTGACCGTTATTTTAGAAGATATTGCGTCCAGAGATTTATGGATTTGGCACGCCTTCTTTGGGACGTCTGTTGAATCCTGCAACGACATTAATGTACTTCAACGTTCTCCGGTGTTTGATGATATAATATATAATCGTGCTCCACAAGTTCTGTTCACTATTAATAGAAATAATTACAACAAAGGATATTATCTCACAGATGGGATTTATCCAAAATGGTCTGCATTCATAGACGCTATTGCAGTCCCACAAACCTTAAAGGATAAATTGTTCACTACACGTCAAGAGAGTGCTAGAAAGGATGTTGAGCGTGCATTTGGTGTGTTACAAGCTCGGTTTGCAATAATTAGGAAGCCTTCTTTGGCAGGGAGTGTAGAGTTGATGTGGAAAATCATGATGACTTGCATCATCATCCACAACATGATAGTTGGAGACCAGCGTGATACATATTTAAATTATAAAGATCCAATTGAATTCTCCCAAGAACAGCCTAAAAATATGTCAAGGTCGTCCTCAACTGAACATTTAACGTAACTCCTAGGTAGTATGATCATAATAATTTTAGTAGATTGCTAGCTTCAAGAGGGGAGATTCGCGATAGACAAGTTCATGAGGCATTAAAGAACGAATTGGTTGAGCATTTATGGGTAAGGTCAAGGAGCTTGGTTGAAAATTAGCATTTTAATAATTTTAAATTATGTGTGTTATTTTCATTGCTTATTTTCATCCGTGTATTTCATATTTTTAATTTATGTCTTTTAGTTCATGTATTTCATATGTTAATAATTTTTTATATTAATGTTAAAATGTATTAGTTGACGTATTTTTGTTCAATTAATAATAATAATAATAATAATAATAATAATAATATTTTACAAACTAAAATAATAAATAAGTGTGTAAATAGGAGAGAAATATATGGTGGGGTATATGTAAATAGGAGAGAGTATATGGAAAAGGATACTCATTGATGTTGGAAATATTTAAGAAAGAGGATAAGTAAAAGGATGGAGATAGTGGGAAGTGATGTGGAAGAAAGAGAGTGTGATGTGTCAAGTGGAGGAAAGGAGACAGAAATTGGGAAAGGATTGTTGCTTACTCATTGATGCTGGTGCTCTTATATCCCCTTTTAAAAACAAAAACATTTATTTAAACAATTAACCTACACTACTAATTCTAGTCCTCCTTAAATTCACCTTTGGGGTTAACTTGTTGGGCTCTTAAAAACTCTTTTATTCACAACAAGTTAGTCCAATACTTTTAGTAATGTTGATCTAATTTGAAATACTTTATACCCAATTAATAACTTATACTTCATCCATACTTTTATTATTGCACCACTTACCTTTTAAGGAAATTTCACAAATATTGCACCATTTCCTTTTAAAAAACAAAATATGTGGTGTTCACACTACAAATATCCAATATACCCTTACTTTTAACATGTGATTCTCTACTTTATGTTTACTTCACATGGATTTTTTTTGTATTTTTACCCTTATCTCTTTATTTTTCCCACTACGAAAAAATGTGTACCCAACATGTATGGTGCAATAATAAAAAAAATAAAAAAAAAACGAAGGAAGTATTATTTTATCCACAGTTATCTATATTTAAATAATTACTTCATTTAAAATAAAATGAATAATTTTAATTTATAAATAAAATAAATATTTTATATGTAAAATATTATAAAAATACGAAGCATTACAGTCCTAATATGTCCATTATTAGCAATTAATCGAAAACATCACAAACGTCAATATCCATTGAAAAGCCCTACAAAGATTAACCATTACCAATTAGTGATGTACGTGTTACCAAATTACATGCAAGACATACTTGAAAGTAAAAGATGTAAGACTTGAAAGTAAGACAACTGCCTACAGCATATCTATAGATGCAACATTTATGTCAAGTATCAGCCTCCTTCTAATCTATGACTAGTCTTCGAGGGCAAGTGATTTCCCCACTCCCATTGTTAAATTCCTAACTTCATTTCCCTTCATCACCATTTCAATTTTCTTAAGTAAATTGGAGTGCAGATATGAACTATGGGAGTGCAGAAATCATTTTCTGCGTTCGAGGGCTACATTCAGTATGTCGATAGCCATTGACACCAGATTTCGAGCACTATCGAGGAGAAGTTAAGAGTATTAGACTCCGCGGCACATCAACCACTAATACAACATCATAAATGACACAAATATCATTGGGTTTTAATACTTCCTCCGTTCTTTTTTTTATTGCACCATGAGGGATTTCACGCTTGTCAATGCATTGCTTTAGCTGTTAATATCTTCTATTATACTTTTGTAAAAATTATAAAAATTTGATATTTGAAAAGAAGATTTCGTGACGAATCTAACTAGATCTCTCATGACTATATTTTTCCTAATGGTTAAATCACAAATGATGGTCAAAGAACATTAAGTGAATAGTGTCAAAGTCCAAATGGTGCAATAAAATAAAAATGGAGGAAGTAACATATTTCATTGTTGATAATCTAATCTAACAAATAACATTGACTAGCAAAGAAGCAATGCACTAGCTTTAGAAAACAACATGATTACTAGATTCTGTATGCAATCCACTATTTAAAGCCCCTAATACAGAGAAATTAAACATACTTTTTCCAATGTAAAACCCAGAATAATTGATGAAACAAGTCAAATAATGAATAAGTATAACAATCAACCTTCAAGTTACAAACTTTTTCACCCAAATTAAACAATAATTACAAAATCTATAGCATCATTGGAATAAGAAAACCCCACAATAAAAATTCATCAGTTCACACTTAATTAAATCAAAACAATACAAAAGTTACCACCCATATTATTCAAACCAAAAAAGAACCAATGATCAATTCATATATATATAAAAAAGAACGCAGAAAAGAGAAGAATGGTTTACAGTCACATTTTTCGTATTTTCTCTCTCCACTTTTGTGTTTTTTAATTGAGCTTTGGTATCATCTTTCACATATGAAATATACACACAAAAACTAATAAGACTAAAAATTAACTTACATTACAAAAAAGAAGACTAAACTCACAATTGAAACCCTATGATCACAATCACATAACTATAAAACATGAACAATCAATCAATTTTTTGATTGCGTAAAGTAAAACTGAATATTTCAAAAAAAAAATGTAGAACATGAATAACAAAAACAACAACTTGAAGATTCACAACAAATGCAAAACGAAATAATTAATAGTTATTTGAGCATAAACTAATAATAAGTGAATCAAACTGAATTCTTGCGTATTATAAAAAAACACTAATAAAGGATTTAACATGAAATTTATTTCCTAACAAGTGAAATTTGAATTTAAATGCTTTATTATTTCCTAACCCAAAAAGACTTTCATTAACAAAAATCTTTACCCTTATTTCCCCCCAAACCAAAAACAAAAACCCTAATTAACTTTAATTAAGGAAAAAAATAAATAAATAAATTACCTTTTAGTTCAAGAAGAAGAAGACGAAGGAAAAAGGAAGAAAATGAAACTAAATTTGGTTCATATTTTGTTTTCGGTGTTTTTTGAGGAAGACGAAATAAAAATCTCAATTGAAGAAATGAATCTGGTCACTTTTTGGTTGATAGAATTAAACTCACAATTCAAGTAATGAATTTCAACGCTGATATTGATAAGTAGAGGACTAACAAAAAAAAAGTGTTGATGTCAATGGAACTAATGGTGGGTTTGAATGAGGGTTGATGAATTTTGACAGTTCATTTGAATTTAGCTGGGTTGAATTTGTTTGGGTTGAATGTTTAATTGAGTTAAATTGTTAATTTAAATTTTGGTTGGGTTGAATTTGATTGGGTTAAATTGTTAATTTATATTCAGGTTGAGTTTAATTTGATTGGGTTAAAAACTAATTTGCACCAAAACAGAACCAGTTCAATTACGGATACAAAACCACTACATGCGAGTAGCTAGTAATGGGTGTGAAATAAGATTTAAAAATCACATAATACGTATATATGGAGTAGTATAAACCAATGGTAGACCGCCCGAAGAAATCAACATTTTCTTTGTTTGATATTGTTGATATTCTAAATCGCACTTAAGTTTCATCAAATTCTCCTTTGATGAACCAGTCCCCAATTATATTGGTTGTCGCCTTCTGATCCCTCTCTTTATCTAACCTACATAACATTTATATATATATAAATATATATATATATATAAATTAATAAGAAAATAAGACAGTCAAAATAAATATAAAGTATAGACTATTAGACTACTACATAAAATAAAGACAAATACAATTAAATAATGATTTACATATTAAGAGAAAGTTTTGAAGGTTTTGATTCTTCATCATCTCCTTCCACTACAATGTCCATGGATTTTCCCTCAACAACATTGTTATTTTTTATTTAAAATTATTCATATTTAAACGCTTTAGATCATAACAAATTTTGAATTCCTTGAGTCATGTATCACATTTCTCGATAACTTTTCCAATGTAGTAGCATCTAAATTAAAACACCTAGTTCAAAATATAAGGTATCCAACGACACATCATGTGCAACAACTTGATAAAAATCTATGAACCTAAGTGGCTCTGCAAACAAATGACATGTAATCATAAAAACATAACTTTTTACATTCTTAAACTTCAATGTATAGAGTGGTATTAACATAGTTTGAGCACCCATATTATTATTTCTGAATTCATTTACAACATCAAAGGTATATTCCACATCAAAACCAACCTCATTTCCCTTCGCATGAGATTACAATATTCTACAACTGCTATAAATAAACCAATCTATATCTTCATCTCGGATATTTTTGTCTATATTATGATGTGTATAACCATAAAAATAAGAATCAAGTTTATAAACTATAAACGAGGCGATGACATCAATATCATCGTAATACCCCACTATTGTCAAAACAAAAATAAGATGATTAAGATCCTTAAAGGTAGAAGGTATACCCATTGCCATCGTACCACCCCTACAACAAGCATTTCTAACTTGATTTATAGCAGAACTGTAATTTGATAATTGTAAAGAATATTTCAAACATCCCACATTTGATCCCCACTGCGATCATACACTTAATATGGTAGCGTCCAAAGGTAAGAAAGCTAGAGCAAAAGAGTCGCCAACAAGTTTAGGAACTTATAAACCATTCAAGATCACAGAGATCGCTAACTACATAGTGGTCCTGAACCATGACTGGATATTCGAAAATGAAGCTACAAATCCAACCTAACAGATGTTAAACCTGTCCTAAATAGGCCTCTACTTTGTTCTTCTCATATTTATATTCCTTTTCGATCAACATATAGTTATTAATTTAATCATAAACCTGTTTAATCTATATTGGTTGATTATTAATGCACAAATAAATCTTTTATTAGCGATCACTTGAATTAAAATCAAATTAGCCTAAAATCAAATTATTAATTATCTTATTAAGTGTGATTTCAATTACAAATTCCCTTAAAACCTACAAGAGAGAGCATGATCAAGCAATTACAGTAATATATCAAGCAATATA